TACTTCCAATATGATATGTCAACTCCGCAAATGAGAAACAAATAGTTTATATACATATAAGGCGATGGTTTTTAATTATTCAATTACGACATGGTTTTTGCGATAGTTACATAATACTCTAGTCATGTTTTCCTGAAATCATTGGTACTATCGACCTCGGAAACGCTACGACTATAAGCTATAAGTTAAGGTTGCAGTTATGGTCCTCGTTCAAATTGCAATGCCAGTACAACTTCACTTACTTAGGCTCGTGTGTGAGTTTGTCATTTTTCATACATCTAGGAAACTTCCTCTAAATCCCAAAGTAGAGATAGGACTTCAATCTCATGTAATGCCAATAAAACTCAACTTGTTTCAGTCTCGTTTGCGAGTTTGTCAGTTTTAACATGACCTATCCGTTTTAAAATGTCATGGTTGTAAATTGTCCTTCGATAGATCATAGTAGATCAAAACTTAGGAAATCAAAGAGAATTGCCGATAGACAGTTATACAAATTGAGATATATTAGATCATTTATTATTGTTCATGACAACTCAGGATATTTATTTTTATGTTTTGTACGCCAGGTAAATTACTTGTCCTGCTTTCATCTGTGTTGCTTTTAATTGTCACTGTATTGCCAACGTTTATAGATCAATATTGATAATATATTAAATTATGATGAAATGAACACCAGTACATGTATAGTTATATCAATGGTAACAAACTTCAAAATGATGTACAAAGTTTGCTTATTTCTACTATGCAACACTGTCTTGGCTGAGGATCCGCACTAGACACAGTTACTGGACTTGAGATGAAGCGTGATTTAACTGCCTATAATCCATCAATAATTTGATGGCTATCTTCAGATTGAAATTTGTCCACCGGACGAGTACATCACTACAGATCACAAGATCAAAGCGGAATAACTTTAACCTTACCCTACCCTTCGGCCATTTCATACTAGCTTATCAACATATTTATTGTCTTTCCGAAGGAAAAATAACCTTAAGCCAACTTTCGTGCTGATGACTCAATTTACCCCTCATGTTTTCTTTTCTTTTAAGACGTCCGCTGATCGCCTCTTGGCTATAGACTTAGTCAAAGATTTTTTTGTTTATGTTAGATAGATACATAGTGATTTATGAACATCAGCTATAAAACCTAGCTTTCTTATCTTAATAACGTGTAAAATGACCAGCTAATTGAGTGGCCAATATATCTTTTAATCACAATGTTTTGTCCAAGATCGCCGGCAGCATAACGATGGTCAATTTGGGAGTTCGTATCAACCGTAGAATCACTTTGATTTTTATAATGACATGCTTGAAGATTGAAATTAATGACTACTGGGGGTCTTATTGGAATAAATCGGTTTCTAAGAAATGTCAAAGAATTTACAAAAATACAGAAGCAAAGTGCTTTGCAAATGTATGTGTTCATGAAAGCAAGTCTGAAAGCTTTATTGGTTAGTAATTCCTTTACTGGTATGAGAATAATCTCTGATATTTCCAAGCTATTCTTGATGATGCACAGATACCAAGATACTTGATCATTGATGTTGAAAATGATCCTATAAATATATATGGGCGATGAAAATTTATCGTACAGTTTTGCCTTAAAATATGGCGAAAATTGCATTTTCCAAACTTTAACTTACACAGTGTAATTTATATTATAGATTCAGATTATATTAGGTTGGCTCCTATGGTTTATCATACAATTTGTTTTGGTGAAATATAGAAAATGAAATGAAATTTACGACTTATATTTCTGCCCTAGTGGCTAGTGAAGAATGATAGGCATACTGTTGTGCAGTAGGAGAACGAATCCTAGATCTAACCAGGTTAACGAGTAAGCGTCTTACTTGCTGAACTGCAGCTACTCTAAGGTGATAATATGAGAGTTTGCGTCTTCAAAAATTATCTTTTCATCTCTAAAATTAACTGTAGGACACATTGTAGTAATTTTGAAATTTAAATAGTCTATCACGTGCCAACGAACAATTTGATCACCAATGTATTATGAACTTGGGACAATACGTTACTATTTGTGGGATAATACGCTACTATTTTCAAGATAATTCGAGTCTTTTCTTCCAAGATGTAAATATCATATTATCTCTACTTCTCTATAATACCCCTATATTACCTGTATTATAACCACACGTGCACTCAGATTCATTTTCATAATACCTGATTATATTCAGTATAGATCATCCAGTACAATAGACTGGTCACGCAGAACGTGACCATTGCCTGTCCCACGCGTCATTAAGTCGCCGGATAACAAAGACTATGGCATTCCCTATTGAACCAGTGCGTCTTGCGGTCAGTCAGATAAGCTGAATTGCGGTTTTTCTTTTGATTCACAATTGCTTGAATCACGAATAGTTAGTTTTTTTCTATTGTGGAAAGTAATTTAATATGCATATACCTTTAAAATCATCTTGTGCATAATGTACACTTAAAGATTGTCTGTTTCATGTTAATTTTACTGTAGATCTAATGACCTCCTTCAATCCAAATATTACGTTTGAATTAAAGCTATCGATAAACTATTCTAAATTTCTCGAAATGCGTATATTACTGCCTAGAAGGTGAACATAGCGTTATTAATCTAGTTTTGCCGAAGCAATCAAGGACCCATGTACATGTTTGAAATCACTTTATAGATACACAAAAAAATAGAGTAGGCTTATGCTCTTGTCCGGGCAAAATTCAATACAATTGACCCAATTAGAAGTAAAAAATTAAGACGCAAACACATTTTCATTTCACGAACATGATACTCTTATGTCTATATAATGTTTAATAATTATTATTCAATGTCGGCCTAATTATGAACAAAATGAATTCACAAAGTATGCTTTTGTAATCAAGTTTCTATAATGTACATATGTGCATATAAACAGGAGAGTGGACATATTTGACATTGTTTATCTATATAAATATATCATATTCTCACGACCTTTTACAAACCTTTATAACTAGTTCTCACACCCCTTCATACATATTTAGTCCGAACAATTCTTCCACAGCATTTTATTACAATATACCACTTATTGGTATTGGTATAAAAATGTATAATAACTACTATAAGTGTTATCATAATTACCCAATCTGAATGTGATACTATACTGAAACTAGTGAAGGTGTTGCGATGCCCATTTTTCTTTCTGAAAACGTATGAAAAAAATGATTGAGTGTGTCAAATTTATATCTATCAGAAAGCTGCTGATGTAACTCCTTCCGGTCCGGATATATTTAACAAAACACTAAAAAAAATATTATTATAAGCGCAAAAGCCATAAGCAATCTGGCGTTCTCTGAGTAGGTGTACTATTTGAAAAAACACTAAGCGTAAGAAGCCACGGACTTTTTAAAAGGGTAATAAAAAAGGCATGATGTATAAATTTGTTTTACGGTAGGTAAATTAAGAATAACGGTCCAGGACAGGAAAATAATATCATGCCAGAGTCTCAGTGTTATACGAATTTATTTTCTTGTAGCTTCTTGTTGCATTTCAAGAGTTTTGCCAACTGATATATTGTAATAATGCTATTGACTAGAAAGTCTCCAGTGTGGGAGAAAAGATGAGGGAAAAACCAACTTTGCACAATTAATCCGATAACGATAGCAAAAGGTATTTTTTCTGGGTCTAGATAGCAACAATCTAGGGCCGAGATTCGCGCACACGCTGTTGAAGAGGCTATATTTTCGGACTAACCTACAAATAAATAATAGAGATATATAAACATAAAACGTTTTAAATATTTAATTCCCAACAATATTCAGTCATAATATTAACAAATTTAATCAAAATTCAGAGCACTCAACAATATTCGATAAAACATTCTCACATAATAAAATAGATTCGTAAGTTTTTCATATTACAAAATTTAACAATGAGGAGCATTCATAAGGCACTTTATAAAGTTTTCATCTGCAGATATGCTAGCTGCATTAAAGTCTGCTGGCGGAGTAATTTCCGCCATGTAAAGATATAATCGGCGTTAGGAAGACTTCGTGAATATACATCTGTTGATAACTTTCTAATGAAATTTTGAATAGACAGAAAACGATCGTATCCAAAGATATCTTATTAAGGACTAGCAATATCAAATCTCAGAATAATTTTACTGTGAAACCAACAATGTGGTTATCTGATTTCTAAACTGACGGGATTGTGGTCCGATTGAGAAAGTTCTGACATGAATTTACCAAACATAAAACACAAAATACAAGGAGAAAATAGTAATGGAAGAAAAGTAAAAGGAAAGGCAAGTAAGAACCAGGGTAAAATGTAAATCGAATGAGGGCATCGATCCAATAGTGGGAATGCTCGTCTGCTGTATTGGAAACATTTGCACAACATACATAAAATCCATCGTCCTTTCCAGAGCAAATCACAAATTTCTATTCACTATGGATTATGATTAATAATATAGTCACAATATAAGGCCTGCAAGACAAAAGAGATCGTAAATAGTTTCTAATTAACAAAAAAAGGCTCAGTGTCAACAATAATAACAACTTTAAGGCATTAACTTATTTTTACCAAGGTCTCCACATATTGTCGCTCTCCAAATTTGGCGCAAGAATGTTGTTCATATTCGTGTCAAATTTTGCAATATGTTGCCCATCTATCGGGATTTGTTCCCTTTCCACTTTGATTGTCCTTGGTAGAGCCTCGCTAGAATGTTTAGGACTACTTCTTTCTGGCATTCTGAAACTAGATGGCGCCTCACTCATTATCCTCTTTATATCGTGTATGTCGTGTTTAGGCTCAATTTTGATGTCCTTCAAGGGCTCTCTTAGAATTGGCGACTTGATATCACATTGTCGGATAGGTTCTACTTTTGCTGTCGGGGGAATCTGATAGACCGGCGTAGGAATGTGAGTTTGAGGGGGTAATCCGTTCTGCACAAGATGATTCCACATTGAATTGTAAGATCCTATAGAATTGAGAGATATTCCAGCAGCAGATAGCTGATTAGCTGTTTGAATTTGTAAGGCTTGTACATGAGACGGATGTAGTTGACCCCCTTGTGGATTTATACAATTCGAGAGGTGATTAAGCACTCTGCCTTTGACTTCCTGGCTCCCACCTTGAACTGAATCTAGGTATCGCGCTACTTCTGCCGCACATTCATTAAATCCTGCACGATATTTACTCACAACGAATGGATCTGTTGTCATGGCGACTGGAAAAGAGAAAAAAAAAGGCTTATAATTTATTCACGTTCAAATCATTACAATGAATTTTATTCTTTAGATGACTTTAGATATGCAAGCAATGGAATACCTATTTCTTGCTGATGCAGTATGTTCTTTGGAAATATTCTGTTGAAAAATAACCGAAAGCCTTAAGATCGAAATTGCAAGTAACGATTGGTAAATGGTTTTTATCCCAATGTTGAAGCAGTGTATATGATAATATATTATATTATGACGTTTACTGTTAAAGGTAAAGAAATTTAATAAACAATATATCCTACTTACCGGCCATTTGCTGTCGTTGTAATAACTTTAAATGTTTGACTGTCATTTCTAAAATATCGGCCTTCTCTAACTTGGAATATTGAGTGCTCTGAAATGAAAAGGATATCTAAGTTATTTTATGTTGCTTAATATGCTTTTCATATAACTTAACAGCAGGAATGGACACATAAATATCGATTAAATCCCCCCCCCCCCCCCAAAAAAAAAACCACTTTTCAAATGAAGGTCATAATGGACCATTCCATAAATAACATAAATATACACTGACGCAATGAAAACCTCGTCAAATCTAGAAATAGGGTGTTGCCGTCCAGTGGGCAAAGTTTCAATGAAGGAAAATGAATTATTTATCAAAGCAAAATTTATGTGAATTGTCATATATTTGAATTGATTGCATCGGAGAGAACGGCATCAGAAACTTACAAGATTGAAAATATTTAGAACATTTTCTGAAAATCGAACAAGAATAGAAACACTTGTTGAGACATAGAATAGAAGCCTTATGCATTGTGTACTTCTTAGTATCTCTGATCAATGTACAGAATGATAATCCTTTCATAAATTTTACTCCAGACGGACGTGGCTTGAATAGCATATTTACTTTAGATGGATATGAATTTTAGAGATTAGCCAACTATCCAGGGTGGAAAGATGAAAGAGATGTTGAGTGACCAAGGTGGTCAATATTGGGACTTGAAGAATTGTACTGTAGAAAGTCGGAATAATACCTTGGCTAATGAATTCAAGTTCGATAAATACTCTACAAATCCATAAATAAATACACAGAAAAAAGTCATAAAGACTGATCAGTGTGTTGAAACGAAAAACAAATGCTAAAGTTGACACAATGGTGTAATATGTTGACAAAGCCTTCGGCACTGTGCCTCGCTCGCGACGTTTAGAGTCAGTTTTAGCGACAACTAGCGATACATCAGCGTGGGAAAGAGCATAGAAAAACAAACAATATTCTACTTGGTTTGATAAACGTGGCCAATTAGTATAAATATACTAGATAGGAATTATATAATATAAATGAGACACCCTTTATCATATTTATTTATTCAATGACCAGAAATGTCTTTTATATTTCATAGACGATTACCTCCCTTGGACATTATCATAAACATAATATTTACTTATTTGCTCGAGTTGGAAATCGATGCCCTTGGGTACGGACTTGCCTACCGTGGGACAATTAAACTCGATGCACATGATTTGTACTGTTCAATAAGACAATGGCCTTGTCAAAAAGTTTAAATTGTCTTTCTCCTAATATTATTCTTTTTCTCTTGAATTATTCTGATTAAAGATTAGGATGTGAAGTATTTATAGGAGCTACTCTCCCATGACCGTCATGTTCAACGCAATTTAGCTTTGAATGTGAAATTTGCAAAGGAGCATTTATGTCAAATTATTTATATGAAAAATCGTCCAACACTATCAAAATTTGTTTATATTTGAGATGTTGGGGATGATCCGAGCCGCATTATAGTTTCTCTTAAAGTCTCTTGTATATACTGTGTATATAAATATATAGTTCTAACCCATACCCCTGTTGTCATTTAATAATGGTAACATCCCTCCTTGGAGACAAAGGCGGGTAATTGCGTTCGTGCTAAATTATCGAGATGTCGTATAATCATTACAAATACAATATCAAGACTAATCAATTGAAATAACTATACATAATCGATTTAAATTGACCCCTTCATAACATGGCAATAATAACCATCATTTCATACAACGAAACAATTAATAGCATTCCATTTTACCGCTCAAAAAACTAAATGCGTTAATGACACTATTCACATTTTAATCACCATTATTCGAAGGTAAAATTATCATTTTAAAACCAAAGAGATATCAGGATAACATCTACTTTGCGCCAACAATTAGTTCAACTCATTAAAATCAACGAGTGTAAAATTTCGTTGCTACGGAAAACGCCCATTTCAGTCCTTTCCCACGAAATATTCCAGAATGCTTTTAAGGATAAAACGTTAAAGAGAGCAGTATTGCTTTTAAAAATGAACAAAAATTTACACTTCAAAGAAATATCAAACCATTAACGTATTTCTAAGATATCAATGTATTTGACTTCTGTAAAGCATTAAATAATAAGTTCGAAATATTCACCATAACATAAAACTGGTTGTGGTGTTTTTCAAGAAATATATAGCGCATGAGGCAGAAGTACAACGTTGAAGCAGACATGTTGTAGTGTTTTCGAAGGTCATTTACTAATTTCAATATCGATGGCATGGACAGGTGGTTTTGAGATCACACCTTCAGATTTTGAATATGGAATTGTTTATGACAGGAATGCCATGATGATCATAAACTTATGTCATGACTTTGAAACTATTTCCTGCCACTAAATCTGTCAAAATGTCATCGAGAAATAATTCCAGAAAATACTTGGATTCCAAGGGTAAATTAAAATCTGGTTTCGATTTCTGACCAATGCTAGGTTGAACTGTATTTGTCTGTGTTATGTATGGTGTCTGATGTACGAAGACTGTTATAGTTTGAATCATTGATATATATATATAAAAATAACTACTACATATGGAATGGTACCGGCAAAACAAAATTGCACAAAATAGACATGGAGCTATGCATATCGCAATCTATACCCACAAGACAACAATATCAAAGAGCTGAACATGAAACGAATCTAATTGCCATCCCGAAATAATCAAATGGCATTTTCTGTTCAACACTCTGCACTTGTTCAAGTAACAAGGAAACTGGTTTCAACTTAGAATTTTCTAAATGAGCGTGTAGGAAGAGCAATCTATTAAAAATAGATACTTCGGATTTATAGAATGTCAAGAAAAGAGGAAGCACTCTTTTGTTATGGGTAATGTTCCCTATTTTAACATGTAATGAAATTTTTATCTTACGTCTTTCTTCAAGGCTTGTAGTACCAGTGATTTTAATTCTACCAAACATTCATTTATTCTGGCTCGTCTTCTCTTCTCCATCAAGGGCTTGTTGCTCTGAAAGAAAATTACATGTTTAATTAGCCCAAAAAAACACATTTCCTACCTCCTGATATTTTCGGTCTTCGATTTCAGGAGAGGTTCTCTGAATTAGAAAAATCCATTTAAAATGATGTCATAAACTGGTAGAATTTGTCTACAATTGTAGGAACAAAAGAGAACGAACGGAAATATTTTACACGATAGATAGATAGATAGAAAGGCTAGATAAATTCTTTGGAACTATGTGCCAAATAAGAAAACTGTCATTATCATGAATTATGTCTTGCGGATGACGTTCTTCCGGAATCATTCACAGAATCATTGGCCAGATTAAATTACGATGAAAAATGAAGAAGAAACGTGCCATGCTATAGACGATCCTAGATATCCTGTGGAAAGAATTTGCAATCCTATTAGTATTCTGTGTTTATGAAAGTTATTATACAATTCTCCAGGTGGTTATGACAGGTGATCATCCGATGTTTGATGGATCAAGAGAGATCGATTCACAGGTAAGTATCCAGTGATTAAAATGTTCCTGTTAGTAGAAGATAAGTTAATCAGATTATTTACGGAATGTCATGGCACTAAGCAACAGGTCTGGAAATTTCCGATTACAAATATAAGTCCATGGTTTTAATACATGTACATTGTTGTGAAATTAAAATTCTCAATATGGACAGTTAATGTTACTCACCCTTCGATTGGAAGACGAGCCTGGCCGTTTTTCCTCTTTAGATAAGTCGCTCATTGCTGATGAACACATTCAAAGGCACATGGAGAATGACTGAGTAAGATTATGTTTAGGAACGCATAGACAGGAAAATGTGTCGGAATGTTAGTTCGTGTAAAACCACTTTAAACTAAGCTCCTAATATCATCGAACATAGTTGTATATTTCCCACGGTGAAAGCCAGAAAAATAATGTCAATCAACTGATCGTGGGCGGTATATTATTCTAATGTCGTGTCCTCATTGGTCAATTAATGTCCTAACGTCAATAGAAGTTAGTGGATGCTGTCAATCAGAGTAAAATTTGAGAGATAAACTACTCGCACGCGACAAACCTAGCTATTCTTTTCGAATTTGTGTGTGGGAATTTCCCGCCCTGTAATTCCTATACTTGGTTAGAAAGATGACAAATCAATGTGTACATACACACAACAGTAATGCTTCGAAATACACATGTCATTGTTTACTTGAGGCTTTTTCGATGATCGCGCGCCTCAAATTGTTGAAGCCTCGAGAGGCCTTCGTGTTAATGCAGAATTTCGGCGTGGGAAAAGGGAGCCATTACCTGATTTTGTCAACTTGCAAAAGCCCATCACACCTTACAGAGAGACGGACTGCTTTTGCATACCGATTGAATATTCATAGTCTGGACAGACTATTTACACGAGCGTTTAATTAACGGCAATCGCACTTGATGTCAATGTCAGTACGTTACATCTACAACTATTCTTTATGGTAATGCGGTAAATTGGACACAGGACATGTAAAGCGTAATATAGGGTGGACGCAATACAGACAGTATCTGTCACGAAGAGGGTGCAGATTGGTGACACCTGTAACTTCTTTTTTCACCATTCTGACGTCCGACATCAGTGGTGATCTAGAATACTTGACTTGTAGATTATGACGTCGCTATCGAAAATACATTATTTAAAATTCCTAAATATTTTGTATTATCAATGTGTTAATGGTATTCTAAAACGATGTACTTGATTTTCAAACCGAATTTGACCACCAATTCGTCGCCCTTTAATTTAACTGCACTTCAAATATATTCTCGATTTTTTCCAAGACATGCAATAATGAATACAAAAGGATGAATGTTAAATTATAAGTAAATTAAAATGTATGTATTCCGGGTCAACTTATGCACTTGGTATTTCTTTTTAATTTGACAAAAGAAGTTAAATCGGTTCATTTTAATTATTTCCTTTATTTTCTTGTGTGATTTAGTTCAAACTCCTCGTCTTTTATTGTGACATTGGGCATGGGAACTAAGACGTCTTCATTACAGAAACTCGGTGCATTCTTGGCATTCGGATATGACCTACAACTACAAAAATCATGTTTAGAATTAATCACTCACAACCTTCTCTGTAAACAATAAATAATATTTAATTTCATGTAAACGTTCTTTGTAACTACCCTAATATATCAATATCATATAATATAATCAAAGCAAATCGGACATCAATATCATGTCAAGGATCTCTGTACATAAAGCTAACTATAGACATTCATATCATGTCAACGTTCTTTGTTATGAAAGCTCTCTAGACTTTAATATAATGTATAAGTTCTCTGTAACGAAAGCTAATTGAACCTTAATATCATGTATAAGTTCTCTGTAAAGAAAGCTTATTGAACCTTAATATCATGTATAAGTTCTCTGTAAAGAAAGCTAATTGAACCTTAATATAATGTATAAGTTCTCTGTAAAGAAAGCTAATTGAACCTTAATATAATGTATAAGTTCTCTGTAACGAAAGCTTATTGAACCTTAATATAATGTATAAGTTCTCTGTAAAGAAAGCTAATTGAACCTTAATATCATGTATAAGTTCTCTGTAAAGAAAGCTAATTGAACCTTAATATAATGTATAAGTTCTCTGTAAAGAAAGCTTATTGAACCTTAATATCATGTATAAGTTCTCTGTAAAGAAAGCTAATTGAACCTTAATATAATGTATAAGTTCTCTGTAAAGAAAGCTAATTGAACCTTAATATAATGTATAAGTTCTCTGTAAAGAAAGCTTATTGAACCTTAATATCATGTATAAGTTCTCTGTAAAGAAAGCTAATTGAACCTTAATATCATGTATAAGTTCTCTGTAACGAAAGCTAATTGAACCTTAATATAATGTATAAGTTCTCTGTAAAGAAAGCTAATTGAACCTTAATATCATGTATAAGTTCTCTGTAACGAAAACTAACTGGACCTTTATATCATGTAAGCGTTCTCTGTTATGAAAGCTAACTAGACGTTTATATCATGTTAACTGGACCCCTATGTCATGTAGACGTCCACTGTGATGAAAGTAGCCTATTATATGCCTAAATATATCTAAATTTATCAACGTTCTCTGTAATCGAAGCTAACTAGACCTTGTAAATGTGAATTTTTGATGCAATGAAAGCTAACTAGATATTAACATCATGTCCTCTGTAATGAAAGCTAGCTAGACTTAGATATCATGTCGGCGTTCTCTATTAAAGAAAGCTAACTAGACCTTTATATCATGTCGACGATCTGTTATGAATGTCTACTGACCTTTATATCATGTTGACGTAATCTGTCATGATAGTCTACTAAACCTTTATGTCATGTAAATATTCTTGGTTATAAAAGTTAACTAGACCTTTATGTCATGTCAACTAACTGTTATAAAAGCTAACTGGACGTATTAGACCTTAATATCACGTAAACGTTCTCTGAAAAGAAGACTAACAAAACGTTAATATCACATCAACGTCCTCTGCGATGAAAGCTAACTGGACTTTGTGAATGTAAATGATCACTGTAATGAAAGCTTATTTAACTTCTACAATGAGAGCTTATAAAAATTGACAAATATGTCAACTTTGTCCGTAATGAAAGCTTCAAACAAATACATTATGCACAAAACATTACGCGACACACATGCCACAAACTAAAAGGTGGCGATATGTTTGTCAAAATCCCGACTGGTAAAAAAAATAATACACTTATCAATATGGAAGGAGATTTTAAATAAGATTTAAGAAAAACGACAGTCACTGTTTAAAGATTGACACTGTTTCTATTTCAACAAGTACTTTTTATTTCAGAATGTAATCATTGTAATTTTGTCAACTGGCGCTTGATTTATGTGAGAAAACAGGTGGTTTGCACACAATCAGCACGACAAACCCTTGTAACTAGACGGAGGCAATTCCTTCCAGATTGGCACCGAATTTAATACTTTTGAACTTCACCCCATCACTTTGTATCGGCTAATGTCTGGTGGCGATAAACTCGTTCAATTCATTGCTCGCCTCTTTTTACGATGTTCGTTTCTTTCAAGTAGATTTAAGATTAGTAATGGAATTTATTGATAAGTATAAAAGACTGTAGCCATTTTCTTTATAATTTCAATTCTGTCAGCAGTCTAGATATTAATCGTTGTTAATGATTGTACCATTTCTTTCAAAGGCTGTTTTTAGCTGTATTTTAATATCATTTGACTTTATGTACACAATAAAAGAATACTTGATAACATTCGGAGCATGGTTTTCAAATTCCAGTTACTCTAGGAGATCTTACACATTGATGACCATGGGACGGTTCTTTTATTCGTTCCCTCCATAAGCATCATGGAATACGTTCAGCAGGCGAGCACATAAAAAAGTACCAAAACCGAAACGTTGTCATATGACAAACAAACGAAAAAATCTCTTAAATTACTTTGCATGTTTTTATCGTCTTAAATCAATTTAAATTGTTAGAAATTTCCAAAACCAGAAATTTTTTATTAACATAAAAATTTGTACTAATGCTAAATGTTAAGTTTTAAATGATCCCAATACAAACATATAAAGTATTGTGTTTAGAAGGAAACCTCTTTTGTACGTTTTTGGAAAGACAAATGTCACGGAGAGCTATGCACTTGAACAAATACTTTGAATAACCTTTTAAAATAAAATCTTATCCAATGAAAACAAAATTATAACCACGAAACTTGTGGAAATGGCTTTTGGGATTGAATTACTATCCGGAAACATGTTGCAATGTACTTCCGTGCCTAAAGGCACACTAATGCAATTTTGATTGACACTTCATAATGCTAACAACCAGATATGGATAGTCAGCAAGGAGAGTTTAATGACCTTTAATTAATGTATTATTCAGGTACAGGACGAATTACAGATGACCACTCGCAACTAAAATGAGCTATGTCATTAGTAAGGGTTTGATTAAAGGCTCTATATCCAGCTTTCTCTCTGAAAATCTTATTATGTTTTCTGTAATATGGATATCAATCACCAAA